AAAAAATGCAGATATTGTGAACTAACGTCATGTGGCCCAGTCATGACCATTACCAGAAAGGAAAACAGATGTAAATTCTTACTGTTGACAGCAGTTTCATTTCTGTCTGTAATTATAGTGAATCTATCCCCCTGCTACAATACAATTAGTTAGTAGAGAATATTTTGACCCTTCTGCAGGGTTACTGGAGCTAATCTGGGTATGTGCAGCAGCTTCTTGTTCCCTCCCTCAGATGGCCAATGCAGATCCATCTACTACTCCCCTTTCAGGACTGATACCAGCTCTCCACTCTCCTTCAGCTCCTTGACAATGTCCAAACCACCGATAAGCTCTCCTTTCACGTAGAGCTGAGGGTAGGTTGGCCAGTTAGAGTAAGTCTTGAGCCCCTGCCGCACTTCTTCATCTTGCAGGATATCAAATGTGTCATAATCCACCCCGGTACCGTTCAAGAGCTCCAGTAACTGCCTGCTGAAGCCACATCTGGCAGCCTCTTTCTTGCCCTTCATGAACAGCATGACTGGACTCTGATTGATGATGGTCTTCAGTCGGTGCTCTAAGGTGACAGCCTTCGGGCAAGTGTTCTCCAGCTCTCCGGACTCAGCCAGTTCCTTCACTATGTCCAGTCCTCCCACCAGCTCCCCGTTCGCATACAGCTGGGGGTAGGTGGGCCAGTTGGAGTAGGTCTTCAGCCCCTGTCGGACCTCCTCATCGGACAGGATGTCGAAGCTGCTGAACTGGATTTTGTGCTCTTTCAGCAGCGCCACTATCTGTCGGCTGAATCCGCAGCGGGGCTCCTGGGGCGACCCCTTCATGAAGAGCATGCAGGGGGCGGCGTTGAGCAGCTTCTTCAGCCGTTGGTTCAGATCTGCGCCGCTGCCCTCAGCGGCTCCACCGGGACCGTCGCTCACCGCGAGGCGCTGCACTTTCTTAGTCAGCTCCGGAGCGTGAGCCCCGTCCAGGCTGTCCACTTTCTCTCCCCCTTTGAAAAAAAGGAAAGTGGGGACGGAGGAAATTTCATACTTCTCCGACACCTCCGGGACCGCTTCCGCCTCCAGCTTCACGAACGTAGTGTGCGCATGTTCTTTGGCTAGTTCGGCCATCACCTCGTTCATTTGGCCACACTGAGGAGCCCACGCCGCTTGGAAATGCACCACGGTCAGGCATTTTCCAGCTTTGGCTAAGAAATCTTCAAACTGCTGTTGGGTAGTCGCCTCCACGAGATTCGCCATTTTTCTTTCCTTTCACCCTCTGCACGCGTAGTGGTTCCGGTGCCGCCTAGACGTCATATCCGCGTAGCCTGGCAGTTTCTGGCAAGTACCAGAGAAGCTACAGGGAAGTCGTTTGCATGCTAGCTGATGATAAGAAAACAGCTGCATACACTGGATACGTCGAGAGGATAGTAACTTTTAAGGTAACTGTTTAACGACACGGACTTAATTAAAACTAAATTTCACACTGTCTCGGATTGCTATGCTAATTTTAACGTTCCGTTTTAGTAGCGTTAGCTAGTTAGCTCAAAGTTAGCTTCGTTCGTGACGTCTGCCAGGTTTCCAAGTTAAGCAAAGCTAATTCATGCTAGCAAGCCTTTGGCGGCTAAGTAAGCTACTGTTACACGTAATTTCTGTTAAATAGAAGTAGAGTCAAATACCACAGTTCTAACAGTTAAATTAATAAAAGGCTTAAATAAAGACAATGCACGTCGGTGTCTGGCCCAGCATGAAGCAGCCTCGGTTCCTCGGCTAACTACTCAACATTACGATGTTACCGAGCACGCAAAGTCCAAAACAACACGAGCAAGTGTTTAGCTGATCGGACTCAGCTGTTTCCTTCTGTTTTTCATCGGTGGTTTGCACGAAAAATCGTTACATGTTTTTGTTGTTGGTTTTAAGGAACATGCAACTGAAGTTTTCTGCACCTGCGGATGGCACTACTTTCTTTATAAATCCATATTCTGTGTAGTTGTCAAGACAAGTAAGATGGTGGCGAAAAAATATTCTTTAGGTAAACATTTCAAATGAAATGAGAGGGGAAAACAAGACACACCTTATCATTACAACCATGGTATATGCATAATGCATCTTCTGCTTATTTTCAAGGCTTTGCAAATCCGGTGATAATAACTGGTTTGATAATACGCATGAAAATTATGACATACTTACATGACATATGACACTGTGTTAAAGTTTAACACCAATTAACTCAAAATGCAGAAGTAGTGTCTGAAAAACTATGGAGTCCCAATAATCCAGTAGCCTGTAAAATCACCCTTAGCATCATTACATTGAAGAAATAGTTTTCTGTAAGACATTATCAGTCTCTCACATCATCTTCTCCTACGTGTTACATTGTCTACTGTTACCATGATCTTGATCACAAAGCATGTGTGTTATGTGTAAATGTGTCCTTTGAAATATGGCTGTTCGATATAACTATATATATCGGATGACGATATAAAAACGTCTATTGTTTCATTGTATGCTATGGTTTGTTTCGTGGTGTCGCAAAATAAACTGTTTACGGCAATATTTTTTCATCGTTTTGATGGTCACTGTAGTGGCTATATTAATTTCTTAAAGTTCTCTCTTTTATATTTAATATAACCACACTACAGACTGACAAGCGCCTGTTTTTATGCGTTTTGGTTAGCAACAACGACGGTAACACCATCGTGTGTCTGCTTGTTTATGTTCCACATAAACCTTTCACAGTAAAGCTCAAGATCCTGTTAAGACTTTTCAAAATAAACTGAATCACGTGAAAGAGCAGATTATTTACGGATGAGAAGTAAAAAAGCTAAAAAATAAACCTTAGACTCAAACGTTAGAACAGGCTTTTCCCCGCAGCACGCTGTGTAATAAATACTCGCAAAGAAAACGGCGGCCTTTACAACTTATGTCTAAAAATGTATAGTTTCATGCATCGGTTAAAACACTAGACTCCGGCTACGTGACGTGCAGCTGGAAACACTTCCCGCAAGTCGAGCTGCCTGAGATTCACAGAATTTACAGAAATTGTTACATTTTTGTGATTTATATCGTTATCGACGATAGAATTCTTATATCGGGATGCGAGATTTTGGTCATATCGCACAGCCCTACTTTGAAAAACTAAGTACACACATGATTCAGTAGCTTATTGAAACACCTTTACCAGCATCAGCTTGAAGTAATCTTTATCTGTATGATATTATCAGTCTCACTCTTCTTTACATATGGTTTGTGCTTCAGTTCATTGAGGTTGGCGGGCATTCATTTATGCAAAGCTCTCCTGTCAATTACATCAGATTGCAGTATGAACTTTAGATTTTGTTTTGATTTGCTCATTAAAACAACTTGATTCTTTTCTTTTTCAGCTGTTCTGTTGTAGACAAGAGTTAGTTATTGAAAAGATGCCCTCGTATTTGTCTCTAGAATACTTTGACATACAGAGGAATTTATGATCCACTCACTGACTGCAGGTGCCCACATCCTAGACTGCAAAACAAGCCCAAAACATCACCCCTCCACCACATGCTTGACAGTTGGTATAAGACGTTTGTGCTGATAGGCTGTTTGGTTTAATCCACTGGCATGTGTATTATGGCCAAATATCTCCACAATTGTCTTGTCTGTCTAACGGACACTGTTCTTGTAGTTTGTTCAGATGCAAGTTTGCAAATCTAATTGTGTTAGAGAGAGATGGCTATGGCCATTTTTGTCAGCTTGTTCAGTCTTTTAATAAATGTACTATCATGAACTTTAACATTTAAAATGATAAGTGAGGAAACGGTATTTTGCCACAGTAGTGCCACAACATCACGAGTGGTCCACCAATAAAGAGGAAAATAACTGGGAAAACATTAGTAGAGAAAAATTGCTTTAAATAAATAAAATAGTTAAATATTGTTAATTATTATTACAAGAGGATGCACATATTTTTGAAAACAAAAGTATTGTAGTTAACATTTTATGGTGGTTTTGTTTGTGTAGTTTTGCTATAGGTCGATACAGTGTTTTGCTTCCTTATATGTCCTACATTTCTGAATATATATATATATATATTTACCTATGAGTTACAACAACCACAATATTTTGTAGCTATTTTGATATATTCCTTTTACATTTTATAGACCCTGTGAGTAAACATTAACACATTAATTGAGAATAAACATTGGCCATAGCTGTAGGAGCAGTATCAGTTGGTAATTACTGGCTGGCACATCAGGTTTTTACAGACCCTTTGAGTCAGCAAGAATCAAATGACAAAAGACATGTTTGTGATAATTTAAGTGAGAGTCTTTGTTTTATACTGTAAATTGTCCTAATTAGTCCCAAATGTTCCATTTGACATCTCACAGAGATGTTTAAAAGTAGATGTTTATGTTAAGAAAGATATATGAGAGGATTTCAAATTATCAAAGTGTTTCAACTCTCACATAACAGTCATCATATTTACCTTAAGAATCCAGTTTCAGCTGAGCTATAAATACTGGAAAATACATCTTTCTGTTACAGGAACACAATGGAAGAACAAACTGCTGACATAGAGGTGACGGTGAAAACATTAGACTCCCAGAGCAGAACCTACACTGTTGGTGCTCAGGTAAGTACAGGCATTGCAAACTCAGGAGGAAATTCTCAGTCTTAGTTCATCTTTCCTGTGGCGTTACTCATGTCTGTTCAAAATTTGTTGTAGCTGACGGTGAAAGAGTTCAAGGAGCACATTGCCCCATCAGTGGGTATACCAGTGGATAAACAGAGGCTGATCTACCAGGGCAGAGTGCTGCAGGACGAAAGGACTCTGACAGACTACAGTAAGTAAATAAAGAATGAAATGCAGAACTAGATTGTCACTTGTTGGTCTTTGTACTTCCTCCTGGAAAGTAGGAAATTTGTTTTTTGGGTATTTGGTATTACACAGAATGAATTCTTAACATTTTGGTTACACTTGGTTACAGATAAATTGGAATTTACTATGGTGTTTTAAGAGTTGCTGCTGCTTTTTAAGAAGATTTGTGTTGATGATGCGGGCCATTGCTGAAAAAGAATGTAACAGCTATGTGTAATTAACTGCAAGATGTATTTGGCAGAAAACGAGTATCATTTTGATAATCAGTTACAATGTTCTCCACAGAATCCAGTCGTATATGATGAATTATATGTTGGTCAGTACTGGTCTTTTATGCTGAAGAGAGCTCAAAGTGAAGCTGTCAGTTGAGCTGTTAAGCTACAGTCCTATCCCCACTTATGGCCACAAGCTGTGAGTAGTAATTGAAACAAATGGCTGAAATGGGCTTTCTTAGAAATGTGTTGAAGAGCTTCATCACTCAGGAGGGGATCAGAGTAGCACTGCTACCCCTCTGCATTGAAAGGAGCCAGTTCAGGCATCTGATCAGGCTGCGTCCTGAGCGCCTCTTAGGTCAAATGTTTTTGGAAGAAACAGGAAGAGGCCTCCAAAACAAACCCAGAATGCACTGGAGAGATTTTCTTTTCTTTCTTTTTTTTTGCTTGAAAATGCCCTGATGTCACATGTTCCCCCCAGAAGACATGGAGAGGGAGAGGACTGGGCTCCTGGTTAGACTGCTACCCCCGACTCAGACAAGCATCATATCTATCTAGTAGACAGTCGAGCAGCTAGCAGAATACCTGGGTAGTGCATTCAAGTAGAGTCTGTGTTGGAAATGCGATTTTTTTTTTTTCTTGAAGTATGATTGGAGATGTGTAACTGTATATGACTGTCTCTACCAGATGTGGGTGGAAAAGTGATCCACCTGGTGGAGCGAGCGCCCCCTCCACCCTCACAGCCCGGCTCAGGGTCAGGAGGCTCTTCGGCTGAGAGTGGGCCATCTTCTTCCTCCCAGGGAACATCGCAAGTGCCTCCACACGATCGCAACGCTAACAGCTACGTAATGCTTGGCACATTCAACCTCCCTGTCAACATCATGGATCCCCAGCAAATACAGGTTGGTCTGCTTTATCTTCTCAAGTTATATTTATGGTCCAATGTCACATGCAAAGGTTCAGATATAACCAAAGGGTGATGAAAAGCAACTCAGAGAACCGATGTTATTATTCCATTACTGATTACTACTGATTATTATGACATGTAGCAGAGAGATCCTCTGCTTTGAATTTAACGTCTATATGCAATATTCCCTCTGTTGGTTTCTCTTAATGTTTTCATTTTGGTCATTTTATCCCTGAATCTTTTCATATAGATGTCAGTCCAGCAAATGGTGTCCAGCATGGGAGAGAATGCCAGGAATGCCAGAGTCACAACCAGCACTGGGGTGAGAGTTTGCATGTTCTCCCTGTGTGGTACACCGCCTTCCTCCTGCACCCCCAAAACATGGATGTTCAATTAATTGTTGATTGACAATTAGTCAGAAATATAAAAGTACAGTCCTAATCCAAAAATGTTTGGTAACTATGTAAAAATGTGAATAAAAGCAGAATTAAATAATTTGCAATTTCATTCCTTAACAGAATGTTAAACTGAGAAAATGTTTACTCGTTTTAAATTTAGCAACAACATGTCTCAGAGAAATCTAGGACTATGTTACTGCTGTGGAGGATTCCCTCTTCTTTTAACAAGAGTCCATAAACATTGGGAATGAGGAGACTAGCTGCTGCAACCATGCTGGCTCATGTCATATTTTTTAATGGTTTTATTTGCTGAAAGGCCTGAACTGCAGACAGACCGGTTCAGCACCTGGAACTTCCTGCTATTAAACCTTGTTGTTGTAATACATGCAGCA